GAAATATGAAAACAAGTTGGGGGACGAAAGGTTATACAGTAATGTCACCAACCTGGGATGCAGGAACTTGGGTTTGTTCTTGCCTCTGCCAGATTCCTGCATCGCTCTGAGCCAGTTACTCGCTATGCTCCTGTTCCTCAGCAGTCAAGTGATGCTAAGGCTTCTTCAGCGTAAAAAGTGTTGTGAGAATTTGTGTACAAGAAATACTCATGCAGTGTTTGAGCCCCAGCTTCATACATATTGATGCAAAGTTTTTTTGGCAGTTTGTTCTAAATAAAGGCAACAGAAAGCTCAGATGTCTACCCTGAAGAGCCTTAAAGGGACCCGACATCCAGAGAATGGGTCCTCAGCACTTTCTGGCATAAAAAGTCACTAGATACTTTTTAGCCTTGCACACACAAAGTCCATACATTTCCTAAATTGTCTTTAATATCTCCCCTTACTACATATATTAAAAAGAAAATAGCAAAGGAGCCTAGTCTCACCGAACATCAATGTAATTTAAACGTGTAAGGACTTAAGATCCATTGACTTTTAATGGCTTTTAGAGTACTAAAAATATTAAAGTCGCTTTTCGAAACCAGGACATAGCCATAAGTTTGCGGTGTCAATTCCCAAAATATTTTTTAGCATAACGTTTAAAAATGTCCATACATCAGCTTGGCAGCAATGATTGCACTGAATGAAGTTTTGCTCCCATTTGGTTTTTATGGTCTAGTCTTCACCAACTGTTCAACCACAGCTCCTTGGCTTGGCTCTCTAGTGCCTGGCGCTCAGAGGTGATCTCCCATCCAAGCACTAGCCAGGCCCAGGACTGCTTAGCTTCCAAGGTGCATTCAGGCCATATGTCTGCTCAAGACTTAAAACTATGCGACTAGGTACGTCTCCAATCAGTGCAAACAGTGAACAATCCAACCTTTGATTTCAAGAATTTAACAACTACAGCATTTATACAGAACTCCTAAAAATCAAAAAATGGAAAGCGCTCCAATGCTTGCTGGTTTCTCTAGCTTGCTTCTGACAGCTGCTGTAGCCAACCAGTCTTTGAATAAAACCATTGAGCACGTTTGTTGAAGTCTACGTGGAGTTGATCCATGGTGATGAGTCTGGCCCTTACCCTGGGAAGCAGAAGATAAAGGTGCAATTCCACATGAACTTTCAGAGAGAGATGCGTCTTTCAAACTAGCAGTAGGTTCAACGTCGGGAGCATTTTGCACTCAGCATGCAGAGCCCTCCTTGAGGCTCCTCCTGAGGGGGTAGAAGAGTGTGCCATATGCCAGAGTGCTGAGGGATCTACAAAGACTAGTCAGCCACTCTACAGACCAACTAGTTAAAAAAGATCAGTAAGTGTAATCCTTTTGGCTGCATGGCTGTGGAGTGACAATACAGCTAAGGCTAAGTTGAGCTCCTGAATACCATAGCGCCCAGGCCAGTGCTTATCAGGAAATCAAGGTATTCTGTGAAAGCAGGAAGGGAAGGGAAGCATGCAAGATGCTGATTTATGTTCGGACCAAGCACATAGATTCATAGATGCTAGGGTCCGAACAGACCTCAACAGATCATCGAGTCCAACCCCCTGCCTAGGCAGAAGAGAGTGCTGAGGTCAGATGACCCCAGCCAGATGCTGATCCAGCCTTCTCTTAAAGACCCCCAAGGTAGGGGAGGGCACCACCTCCCTTGGAAGCCCATTCCAAATTCTGGCCACCTTCACCATGAAAAAGTTCTTCCTGATATCTAGCCTAAATCTGCTGCCAGTTTGAGACCATTGTTCCTTGTTACCCCAAGAGGCGCCCTGGTGAACAGAGCATTTCCTATCCCTTGCTGCATCCCCCTAATGAATTTGTAGGCAGCTACAAGATCACCTCTCAGCCTTCTCTTGCAGAGGCTGAAGAGGTCTAGGTCCCTCAGTCTCTCCTCATGGGGCTTGTCCTGTAAGCCCCTAACCATATGAGTGACCTCCTCTGGACCCTCTTGAGTCTATCAACATCCTTCTTGAAGTACAGCACCCAAAACTGAACGCAGTACTCCAGCTGCAGTCTGACCAATGCTGCATAGAGGGGAAGCATCACCTCCTTGGATTTATTTATCATGAATCTGCTGATGCATGATAAAGTGTGGTTAGCTTTGCTGATGATTTTGTCACACTGACGACTCATGTTCATCTTGGAGTCCACTATGACTCTGAGATCCCTTTCCACTTCTGTGCTGCTGAGAGGGTCAATTCCCAGCCAGTAGGTGAGCTGGATATTTTTGCGCCCTAGGTGCAGCACTCTGCACTTGTCCTTGTTGTACTGCATCCTGTTGCATACTGCCCACTTTTCTAACCTGTCCAGACCTGCCTGCAATTATTCCCTACCCTCCGGAGCGTGCACTTCACCCCACAATTTAGTATCATCCGCAAACTTGGACAGAGTACATTTGGCAATCATGTTTCACCAGTTCCTTTTCAGACTGTATTTGAGGTTATTCTCTAATTTAACTAGATTCAGCTTTTAGTCCTGCTTGGAAAAGTTAGTATTATGTCCAGTACAATTGTGAAGTACAGGCCAAGGAAGCATTTCTTTCTGCAGTTACTTAGACTGTGACAGGTTCATAGTAGGGCTGTGCGAAGCTTCGGTCGCAGATTCAATTCAGCAGAGATTCGGCCTGATTCAGCAGCCAAATCTCCAAATCCAAATCGAATCAGGAGACCCTTTAATCTCTCCAAATCAAATCGGAACCCTCCAACTCAATTCAGAAAGATTCAGACATAGACACAGCTTTAAATGTTTTTTCTACATACCTAAGGTACCAGGTGGCTCGTAAATGCTCAGATGCTGAGGCAGATGGAGCATCCCACAGGAGCGCGGGGGTCCCCAGCGTGCTTGGCAGCAGACCTGGAAGTGGACCAGAAGCATTTCCGGTCCACTTCTGGGTCCACCAGGGAGCGTGGGAGGGACCCCCCTTGCTCGGTGACTGGTGCCTCCTGGGTTGGGGTTGGGGGGTACCTGGGGTCTCCCCATGGCCGATCACTGAGCACATGGGGGGCCCCTCTGCGCTCCTGTGGGATGCTTCATCCACCCCACCATCACAGGGTTCACGAGCTGCGCCTGGTACCTTGAGGTATGTAGAAAAAACATATAAAGCTGTGTCTATGCCGAATCACTTATTATCCGAATCAGCATCAAATCTGCAGATTCAGATTCGTCCAGATTGAATCAGGACAGCGATCCGAATCAAATCACTGTCCCCAATTCAGGCCAAATCCGAATCAAATATGGCCCGTTTCGTACACCCCTAGGTCATAGAGCATGTTGGTCTATGATGGAGCTGTACCAGACACAAAACAGAGTGGCAGACCAGCACTGTCCTCTGGGGCGCTGGCTACAGACTGTATTAGGGGAAAGGGTAGAGCTAGATCATTACAGGGCATATGACCAAAGTAATCTACATTAGGCTTCACAATGACTAATAGTTATGGAGTTTACCTAGACAAAGTGCTAGAACTAGGAGACATTCACTGGAAGGGATTTAATAGCCCCTAAATGACTTCAGATGGTGTCTCCAGTCCTACCTGTGCAAAAAACAAGCTACTGGAAAACCAATGTGCAACAAGGCCCCTATACATCTCTTATTACTTGGTCAAATATATTTGGATGAGGGAGGAGAAGGGGGTTCTGTTTTTCTTACCTCTCCAGGATATATCACCTGATTAAATGTGGAAAATACCTTACATTTTGAAGTCTAGAGTAAGCTACACAGACATTCTCAAGTTCTCTGCCGCAACTGGCTGTGATCCCTTAGTTCTTATTTTGATAATGAAGCAGCAGCAAAACTTTTGAATAGGACTATTTTGAGTTGTAATTTAGCTTCTCCTAGAAGCTCAAGTCAGAGATTTTGAGGGATGATCCTGCTCAAGTAACAAGCTGAAAATATGACCAGTAAATATGAGGAAGGAACTCTAAATACTGCCAGACTGGACTCAAGACAAAAGGAAAAACCACAGGCTCTACCAACCTGAGCAAGAGACTTTACATCGTGCCAGCTGTAGCATTCACTAGGACATAAATCAGACGATTCATGAAGGGCTCTGGTCTGCCAATATACATAAAGAGAAATACTAGATGGAAAAAGAGGCAGAACTGAACTGGATCCATCTTCTGCATAGCAGAAATCCTTTGCACCAGCAGAAAGAAACTGATGTTTGACAACCACAGTAGGTTTGGTGAATGTAGCTTTTACATGTTAATTAGCCCCCACAGAATTTTGACCTGTGAAAGATAGTTAACTTCAGAGAAAGATTCATAGGCAATAATACACAAAAATGGAAGCGAGTGCAGTCTAAAGGGGAATTAGAAACGTCCTATAAACATCATCCTCTTCCACTTATGCCGAAGTTCAGAAGGAGTTTAATACTAAGAACTCCTTTGTACAGTCAATGAAAAATGATTCTACAGTTAGGAAGCCTTTAATATAATGCATTGTGTCCATGTGAAAATAGGTACCCACCGCCTCCTCCTCCCAACTCACTGAATGTTGTAATAGGTGCTGTACGTAAGAGAATCCATGCCTGGAGAATTTACAATCTAACTAGACAAAGAGATGAGGAACTGAGAAAGAATGAACAACTTATCCAAAGATTTACAAAAATAACTAAGCCGTTAGCTGAAGCCAAATCTCAGGCCAGTGACAAGCTACAAGATCATCCTGCTCCCCACAAATAACACCTCAAAAGCTGGTCTACACACAGCTTGATAACTTGGTGACAATGATTTGCAAAGAAACACCTTTTGTTTTGAAATTAACTTTGTCCTGCATTATTGAAGTGAAGACAGTAAAATTCACATGGGTACCACAATTCCCTACATAACTGTCTCTACTTTAATATATATTTGCATTTGTAAGTCTAATGTGAAAATAGCTAGTTTGTATTTCATTACTGCTTATTTCTCTTCCAATAAAAGACAGAGGCAAGTTTTAGTCATCTTCTGCTCGACCACAGACACAAGTGACTACATTCAGCCAATCATATCCCTTTATTTTTTTCCTTTTAACAAGGTAAATGAGTCCATAAAACATTTTACAATTTTTCTTATGAACAGCACATCAATAAACTAGACAATTGTTTTAAATATATAATACAAATGTAGGCTATTGCCTCATTTAAGTTATAACTCCTCTATATCAGTGCATATGTATAAGTAGAAACAATGATGGATCCAGAGTTCAGTCGTTGGGGGTCATTAAAGACACCTACCCTCACTGAAACTAAGTACACCTCTAGGTTGCTCATTGAGTTCAGTAACTCCCACATCTATGATTCCTCTACAGACCATTTTACCATGTTACTTATATGACAAGTTAATCCAAAACACTAACCTGTAATCAAAACAAAAAGCCAAAGAACTAAATGCTGCTCACTTACAACGGTGTAAACAGAATTTGGCCCAGAATTTTTTCAAGTCTATACTTAATCTAACCACTCCAATTTTAAAGGAATCCTCAGATAGTGATTTGTGTTGTCATCTGTGGGGGCCCCCATTTAAAAGATATTTAAATCACCCAATGCCTAGTCAATGAGACTTAATGACCTAAATACCTTTATGGAGCTGGGTCTTTGTCCCCATTTTGACAAGTTTCTGTAAATTGGTAAGATCTCTAGGGCAGCAATTATCTTTTGGGTTAGTGCCTACCCACAATGGCACCTGATCCTTTGCTGAAGCCTCTATACACTACTGCAATATAGGTTAGAAATATTAAGAACACAAGGACCCTCATGGATTTCACGGAGATTATTAACACACTTAAGTATCTTCCTGAACTGGGTTTTAACTGTCCCTGACCATCAGGACTTCTGTGACTCCGCTTGAAGGACAGGGTAAGAGACAATAAATATCATAACATTTACAGGAAAAAGCCTTGATTTCATATACTGGCTACACAACTTATAAATTTGCCAAAATAATCATTGCTACACAGAGAAATTATTTATAAAAATAGTATTAAAGAGAGTATTCATAATTTCCAAGTTTCTCAGGGAAAAATGTTTAGTTAATTAATACAAATATTATATATGGGGAGCCATAGCACTTTTTTTTTTTTTTTTGCTTAAAGCTTTCTGCCTATGAGGCACTGATTAAGAACAACCATGTGCAGATATATCTGCAAAATAAAAATCAATCCCTCTCAAGGGGGCTCCTTTTAGTTTGAAGTACATTCATTTTGACAGCAAAGTAATCAACTAATGAAGATGTGCTTATAATAAAAAGCTAGATGGCTGCCAGATTTTTAACTACTATATGGTCGAGATAGGAAAGAAAGGTTAGATCCTTCTCACCTTTCTTAGGCAGTAAAGCCCCATTTAAATGGGATTTTTGCAGAGGTAAGAAAACTGGGATTTTTAGATCTTTGTACTCTCCCTGTAGAAATAATTGCAAATCCTGGATCCATCATTTTTTCAGTCCCATGCCTGGCAACTCATTTACATAGCAATAAATAAAACTTAGTAAAGAAAATCAAGAAGTGTTACAAAAAAAAAGACAGATCTGGCATCAAGAGTACAAGAAGGTAGTAGACAAAAGTTTCAATAAACTTCCAAAAGTTTTTTTTTATTACACAATAGCAAATAGAAGATCTGTATGCACATAGCACAGGCTGTTAAAAGAGTCTTACATAGTGGGCTGAACTCAAAAACTGAATAAAGAAACCTCACTTACATAACACAAATTAAGTAGAAATTAATATGGGACCTTTAACTTTAATATATCCAGTAATTTGAAATAAATTAAAAAGGAGAAGAAATGTTTTAAAAATGCATAAAATATTTAAAGCTTAAAGTCACTATGCGAAGTGTAGATATTAAAATAAAAAGTTACAAGCAGCATTCCATGTTGTAAAAAAGAACTAGACCCTTGCAGAGCCTATGATCAAAGGTCCTGATCTTGAAAGGCAATGCATTATACTGAATGTAAATCTACTGAAGAGTCTTTATAAAGTTAGGCCTCTGGAACTTAGCTGGCAAGCAAACTTGCTTACACAGTGTAAGCAATAAAATGCAATTCTTGCCCAAGATCTGACTAAAAGTGGGCTTTGCAGAAGACAAAGTGGACATACTTATTCAATTAACGTCCTGATTATTTCAAAAGCAGAAGTACTACTACTGTGCTTTTTGTTGGTCAAACTGGAATTTTTAGTAATTCAACAAGTGAAAGATTCTTATGGCATTTTTACCTAATTCATTTCAAGTCAATTTTTTCCTGAATTTGGACCAGCCATTAAAAAAAAGTTTTACTGCCCTATAAATTTACCAGCATAACATTTACAAACTTTCTTTAAAGTATTCTCTCTCATCTAATTTTAAAAAAAATACACTTCCCAGTTAAATACTCATTCAGAAATGCATTATGACCAATTGCTGTATATTGGGAAGTCATCGCCACACCTCCTGAACTACTTGTTAACTTCATTTCTGTTTTGTATAGACAAAATAATAAAAACACCTATCTGAAGCCTGAAACACCCTGTTTACCCAAGTAGTCTTGATGAAAGCTAGAAGACTACTCCTGGAATGGTTCTACACTTGAGTCACTGACAACCCACCGATGACTATTAAATCTTTACCAAATCTGAAGAACTTGGGCAAGTCCCACTGCCACTATTTGCCCACTTTCTACATCAAAAGGCAAATCTTTCCTGTTTCCACAACTGATTTGCATTATTTACTTTAATACTAAATTGTAAAGCTTAACCGTGCTTGATTTATAATCTCTTTAGATAACAGGGGAACTTGACACAGTTTATATTCTTAAACATACTGCTTTCAATAACCAGATTCAAAAATTCAAATACCTCAATATACCATGTTTAGACGAGTCTACTACTTTAAATGTTAGCCATAAAGGTATCCCAATTAATTTAATTAAGATGTTCTTTAAGAACATTCCAACAATTCCTTTACAGCTCCGTTCTCATTCATTCCACAAATATTTCAAATGAACAAAAGACATAACAAAAGCACAAGGGACACAGTGTTTAAAAGCCTTGATAAGTACAGCTCAGTCTGGAGTACTTTGCTGCCAATGTCAGTGAACAGTTACACAGCTCTCATACAGAATGCGTTTTTCAGGGACCTTCCTATATTTTAAATTTAATCCATTCAATGCATTTTACACACATTTGTGACACTGAAAAAGTCACCAGGCATTTTAGTTGAAAGGTGTCACACTTTCTGCCAATTAACATCACCTCTACAAAAGATACCAAAAACTTTCTGGTAAGACTATATTATAAACTAGTAAGCTGCCATTTTTAAAACCAAAGGCATTTTTAGATATGTAAAAGTTAAACTAATCTAAAGCCAATACATATTTCTAATTTTTGTCAGTTGTATAATTGTTTTAAAACAATATGGTTAAAACAAAATTTAACTATTACATTTTCCTCTTGTATGACAAATTCTGACCTATAAGGTTATGGTCAAGTTAGAAATTCACACCTTGAAACCTAGTCTGTGCTGAAATCTATAACTGAGCATTACCTTATAATAAAACAGATATGCCCATTAATTTAAATATACATTAAGAATTGCAGAGATCATATTCATTTGAATTTCAATCTGTCTATAGGTAAATTAGAATTTACACAATAAAATACAACTGCAGTAGTTGTCAGAATCAGTCACATTATTCAACGTAAGTAGCTTTCTTTGCAAACTGCAGGAAATACAAGTTCTATAGCCGTTAACTTAAAATTTACCCCATTCCTAAAATTAGCTGATAAACTCTTGCTACAGAAGTGTACAAAGAATATTAAATGAATATCATGGTCCATCACACAAGCCATGAGAATGTCCAAACTATATTTTGCTCCACTAAATGTCAGGAAGATTTGAAAACATTTTAAGTCATTCTAAATTTAAATCTAACATAAAACAAAGAATTGTGTGTAAATATGTTTGGGAGTCAAAACATTTAGGAAAATAATACGTATTTTCTCAAATAACAAAAAGTAAAGACCCTGTTCTCCACCACCCTAGCATAGCTACCGTTAGCACCAAGCTTAAACAAACATTCATCTGATTACCTAGAAAAAAAACTGTAAAAGATTGTTTGTATAAAACATTGCAGTACTGGATTCACAACAGAAAGAATTCAGATCAAAGTTACAAATTTCATCTTTCATTTGCTATGGAGCATTTAAGAAAAAAAGGGGGAAAATGTAGCCTAATCAAACACTGCAATATACTAAAATAAACTGTCACTATTTGAGTTTTAAATCTTCAGTTTAAAAATAAAGACATGGCATAGTAAATCCAGATCCATTAACTGCCAAAATTTAATTACATAATTATAGAAGCAAGTATATAAAACCAATCAATCAGAATGCAAACAATGTAATCAAAACACTGGTTTATACAAGACATTATTTGGTGATATCACAGAAAGCAAAGTCATGAGACGAACATTTTTATGTTCTTTGACTGTCACCTGGTTAGTTAGCAATTTTATACCTGAGATGAAAAATCAAGAAGTAAAAAACTCATTACGTTGTACATGGAGTCCAGGCAAATAACAACAACAGCAGTTTTCATAACTACAATTTGTAAAAAATATATGCAAAAATCCCATGATTGGCATTTTTCCCTTCTAATTACTTTACATTTAACTATTTATATGCACACGATATAATTTACTGTCTGCGTCAAAACAGAGTTTGAAAATATTTTAAAGGCTCCTGTGTCCTCAATAGTTTAACAATCCAAGTGGAATTTTGAATAGAATTAGCAACTCCCACTTTTCAGTTATATGAAGCAGAAGGCACATTAAAAAAAGAAAATCTTCTGGGGAGCTTTCAGTCCTACGAAAAAAAAAAAACAATCTTTCCCTAAGTGCTGAAAAAAAGAGCTAATCTAACCAAAGTGATCAAAAGATGTTACGTTCTCCATCTATGAGGCTACAGCAGAGCTGATCCTAAGCTCCAATAAAATTAAATAATCTTAACAGTGACTATTGAGGCAACTGTGCCTTCAGCTGAATGTCAAGGACAAATTACTATTATGCTGTGCAAAAGGCTAAGAGAATGCAGAACAGAATTGGGTCCCATTTAATGATGCAGGGAAATAAAGGAGAAACATTATTCCATGATAGATTCACTGCTCGTTTAATATTACTGCTTTGCAAACTATTGAGTTCAATGAATCACTATCGCACAGAAATGGAGTACAAACAGAGGATTCCATAGGAAGAACACTGTATTAAAGTGTTCCTTTAGTTTTCATCTTCTTGGAATGACAAATCATTTCCTTGATAACAGACATTTCATTCCATATTCCAGAAATATCTTTGATTTGCCACTAAAATCACCTCAAAAGCAGTAACGTTTTTCATAATCACAAAAGCTAAATTGATAAATACGTAGGCAATAGACAGCAGAAGATAGAAACTGTTCGATTAAAATGAGACTAAGCTTCAGATTCTGAAACTTAATTCTTTACTTCCACAGCTTCTCTCTCAAGCTTCTCTTTCGTCTTCTCTTTTTCTTCTACTCTCTCTTCTTTTTGAAGCATTGCCATGATCTCATTAACCTGACTGGCTGAAATATCGATATCTTCTTTGTCAATCAGTTCTACTACCTACAAAAAAAAAAAGTTGAGAAGGCATTAGTTTCAAATCCTAACCTATAAATGCCATCTCAGCTATAACTAGGGGGAAAATTATGTAATTCTCATAAGCTTAAGCAAAACACCAGAGCTTTTCTACTAGCAGTGTTGTACTAAAGAATTCAGAATCAAAATGTATTTTTTTTTAAATTCAATGCCCACAACGGCTTTTCAGTGACTCCAGTGATTGTAGGTCTCAGTCCAGTTCTTGAATAATTGACAGGCTAACAAAATGCATGGAACAGCCCTGTGCTAGCGGCTGTCTGTTTGCCCCAGCGCAGGGCTCTCCTTGCTCTGGCACCTACATCTCCCCATCCCAAGCTGCCAGTGCCGCAGGACCTGGGACACAGACAGCTGGAGATCAGGGATGTCTCCATACGAGCCCAGCTGATGGGAGCCTTGTATGTGGACAGTCTGACTGCCACTTCCTGCTGCATGCTTTGAACAACTGGGCAGGTTCACTGCTCACTTGTTGCATGACTGCAATCTGATGAATTTTATCCCAGACACCAAAAATCAAGGTTCCTGACATGCATGTGTTGTGTGACAGGATGTACAATTTTTGAAAACCAGGACAAAAGATCACATCCATTAGGGTCAGTTCTATTTGGATAAATAAACATGACTGAATCCAATAGCAGCTCAAAAGACACAGGGATAGAATTAAAATAACAAGTTTAGAAAAAAACTGACTTTTCCAAAGAGGAAAAATATGATTCATCAAGACAAATGCTGCATTTTTCACACCGCACTCTCCTCAACACATTCACTGTCACTGTACAGAGTAGGAAAATGACTTTCAAGTGAGCCAGCCTGCTAGTTAAGCATATTTTCATTTAATTCCTAGATCTACTGTGTAGTGTGGAAGAAACATAAAAAGTGAGCAAAACAGTGGGAAGGTGGAAAATGGAACATAGCAGCTGAAAGCATATAGTGTTTACAATGCAACCTAAACTACTCAAAAATTCAGGCACTGAAAAGTGGGCAGTGTGCACTTCCCAAAAACTTCAGATAGCAGTGGGGGAGGGAAAGGGATTCAGATTAATCAGTAATTCTGGGGAAATGCATCTGGTGCTGCAACCCTCTCAGGCGCCGCATGATGTGAGCTTCAGAACTGGAAAGATTCTGTGGCTCCATAACAGAGGAACTGAAGGGGCAGCTACTTATAAATAATATATCTGGTGTCACAATACACTCCAGGATTAGGTAAATGTTAGATAGAAGGAAGCTTCTGGCCAGTAAATATGTAAGCCTGAGTACTTCACTTGCATATAGTATACCGAAACGACACATTATGGTAGGGTTTTAGCTACATATCAGTCTAAACTGTTTGCAACCATTAAAACCCCCACAATTTCCCTAAAACAAAAGGGGACAAAAAATGTACACACACACAAACCTGCGTTTTCCAATCCCCCACCCTCATCAGCTCACTCAGTAAATACTGTTTTAATGCTGCAGGATATGAAAACACTGTTTATGTACATACATAATTTTTTAAATATCAAACATAAGGCTTGACTGGGAGCAACACCAAAGATGCCTGAGAACATACGAAGTTCAGTGGATGAACGTAGGTCCCACTGGTGTGTTTGATACTGGGAAGAGAAACCTTTTGGGTTCAGGATGAAATGGATGCTTAATGAGGGGGAGGGAAGAAGAATCAAATACATCCTCCAAAACAGCAGCATTAATATACAGTACCTCGTTAACAGCACTCACCTAGACCAGGCAGATATATAATTTCAAATACTGCAGGTTTTCAAATTCTAAACAGTTGCAAAATAAGATTCAGATACAAAAAATTATATGAATGAAGTAAAGACCATGGTGCCACTCAAGTCAACAATTCTGTATACAAGTAAAACCAGCCTCATTTTATTAAGCTGTTCTACAAACTCACCTTAGCAACATCATCTATATCAATTTTACCATCCTTGTTTTCATCTAGTGCCATGACAATAGTATTTAGTTTGTTCTCTGGAATCTTCTGGATTTGTCTCATGACATTGATAAGCTCACTGATGCTGATGAGATTCTCCCTAAAGGGGAAACACAATCTGTATATGGGAAACAGTTACTATAAAAGTGATAGGAGTACTTCATACTGAAACCTGTCGATAACTCACAGGTTTATTGCTCGAACAGAATACAAAAGGGTAAAAATGAGTTAGGAACAGTAAGCAGTAGGATCTTTATTCTCCCCTAGATTCTCAGTCTTGAGGTTTCCATATGCTGTTTTGCACATACCACAGTATAGTAGAGTTGCCATATACGTCTGCATATGTACCTAATTCCCTTTGTCCTTCCTTATTCATCCGGGGTACATTAACTTTGCCTTGGTCATCCTACTGGACTTCAAAGGCTAGTCTATAGACAATGGAAAAGTCCCTTTAACAAATCCTGGGAAAGCAACAGTGGGAGTATTTGCTTGTAAGAGTGTGTAAAGTAAAACTGCTCAGTTAAATCAGGCTTCACTTCTATACACTCTGATGTAAGGAGCACTTTTACAAAGATAAAGAGTTGAACTTCATGCTGTGGTTAGGCAGATTTCAAAAAAAATCTGTCCCCATTTCTGGGTCATCTTAGTGACATGATGGAACTATTTCTCCACCTTCTGTAGGCAGAAGCTTCTGCATGCCCTTACATGTGTTTACATCTCCCAGAACACACCAGCTAGAGATGGAGAAGATAAGAACAACAATCCTTTATTACAAAGGGCTTCATTGGCATTGTCCTAATTTCACACTTGCCTCTGGCCTCAGACTGACGCTTTTCAGAACAAAAGTGGGAACTGTATCTCAGATCTGCCACTAAACCATCCTGAACTTCTGCTGATTTTATGGCTGTTCTAATAATGGATATGGCAATGACTGCACCAAGCAGGTTCAAATGGTAAAACAAAAACTTGAACAGAAAAGAAGGTGGGGGGAAAGACAAAGCATAATCAGTATATAAAGCCTGATCACTTCCCTCAGTCCACTTAAGTATCATACATCTGGTAATTTCCTGGTGAGACATAAAAGCTTAGGTCACTTTAGCTGTTTCATGCAATAGCCTGAAAATTGCACTGAGAAAAATAATACTCTACAGACACAGAAGCAGGTTGCGAGAATGTTCCAATAACCCACCACCAGTCAGGACAAATAGAAGCTAACGTGTATAAAATGAGACATAAGGAGGAATCCAACTTGGAGCTTTAAGGTGGTACTGGGTTACTTAAGTTGCTCTAAAGCTAAAAGACCACTGGTAACTGCCAATAAATGAAGGTCAACCCATTTACCGACATGCAAACAATACACACAAAGATCTCAAACACATTAGGGTTATGCAAAATTTTGGCAGCCATTTCATTTCGGAGGTGTTATGACCTGTTTTGGCACCTAAACACCGAATCCAAATCAAAACGGAAGGCTCAGAAACATCTCTGAAACAAAATGAGGCATCCAAAACGTTTCAGAAAATTTCAGAGTTTCGGAGCCAGGCTTGCAGGGAAACAGTTGTACGCTGCTGCCCTGCTGCGTGACTCAGCTCTGTAGGGAGCAGAGATCCACACTGGCAACACAGGGCTGCATGGGGTGGGCAGCGGCAGCGAAGAGACCCCCGGTGCGGATCTCTGCTCCTTGCGGAGCCGAGTTGCGCGGCAAGGACCAGAAAGCTTGCTCACCACGCTGCACTGCTTCCCTGCCCCGCAACACAGCACGACAGGGATCAGAGATCTGCGCAGCGGTCACCTCACCTACACATACCTCCTAACCAATCTCTGCTCCCTGAGAAGCCAGGTAACCCAGCAGAGCAGTGCTAGTCCCTGCCAGGGGATCTGGCTCTGCAGGGAGCATAGATGTGGGGCAGTGTGGGGTGGGCAGCAGCAGTGAGGAGACCCTGGTGCGGATCTCTGCTCCCTGCAGATCCAGGTCGCACGGCAGCACTGCCCTGCCGTGTGACCTGGCTCCGCAGGAAGCAGAAATCCGGGGCTGCATGGGACGGGCAGCGGCGACGAGGAGTCCCTGGCGTGAATCTCTGCTCCCTGTGGAGCCAGGTCACGTGGCAGGGACCAGCACTGCTCTCATCAGGGCAGCACAGGGCGGATAGTGAAAGCAAGGAGACCCCTGGCGCGGAGCTCTGCTCCTTGCGGAGCCGAGTCACGCAGAAAGGACCAGCAGGCTTGCTCACCGCGCTGCACTGCTTCCCTGCCCTGCAACACAGCATGACAGGGATCAGAGATCTGCGCAGGGGTCTCCTCACCTACACACACCTCCTAACCCACTTCTTTAGAGGAATTTCTACAAATGCAAGGAGTATAAAGTGGCCTTCATTAAGGACAGGAGATGCAACAAGTAAAACACCCATAGGACCCCATTTGACTTCTCTGCTGGGCCAGCAGAGAAAAGGTGAAACCATCTTATTTATCCACTAATCAGCTTTGAAATGAAAATCATTGGGATACAGAGATGAAACCTACAATGCCATTTTTGTCCTCTCTTTCAGAAAAGAGCTGTACTTAAAAGTGTTGAACAACTTGTATGCTATCAATTTTCTCTAAACCAAGTTAAGGCAAAAATTCAAGTTTCACACTATGTGCAAGAGCTGATGAATGAAATTTTTAAAAAAAGCATACCGCCTTCAGTCACTTACCCAACAGGTGGGGTAGCACCACCATTCAGCTGTCCATCAACTGTCTTTTTGTCTTTCTCCAACTCACTAATAATTTTGTCCATCTGACCAATCATTCGGTTCACCTTTACGGTCAATCTCTTGCTTGCCTTAGATTCTTCCACTACTTCCTCTTGTCCAGTCTTAGACAGCTCCTTTATCTCTAGCAAATCCTGGAAGATTTTAAGGCAAAAAAGAGCTTTCAGAATGAGCTACATTTGATACTACAGTTCCACAGAAAAACACTTCAAGACAGAAGTTCTGTGCAAACCAATAGCAGAGTTACTGCCATCATCACACCTATGAACAGTGGAAACAGTGAAATACAGAGGAACTCGAGTGAAGATTAACTTGCGAAATATCCCCAAGTGCTGCTACTTCGTCACATCCATTAGTCTTACAAATTCTTCACAATTTTCACTCCTATTCATCCATCCATAACAACCTTGTGACTATACAAACAAGGTGAGGATCTGATGCTTCCTGCCTGGTAGAATAAAGCGCACTCGCTGAGCCACTGAGGCCTTTAATGTTTCATGTTATGCAGATTGACATCATTTATTGTATGACTGCACAGATAAAACTGCACAAGCATCTTAGCTGTTCCATTTTTACCTCACTATATTCCTGAACATTGCCCTTCAGCTCCTCAAGCTCCTCCTTTTCCTTTGTTAGAGGTTTCTTCTGATCTTGCAGTTTGGTACAAGCATCACTCAGCATGTCAATCTCTTCCTTGGTTATATCCTCACCCTAAAATATGCAAATGAGCAAGGGAAAAAAAAACAGAGAGAGATTTGTTTTTTCTTCCAAGAATATCTAAAAGATTTGAGTCTGTGTAATACAGACTGATATTTTGAGACTCCGTGGTTGATGGAAATGATAAAACTGTCAATAAGGATTTTTGGATTTCAAAAGGTAGTTTCATGTACTATAGCTGCCCTTTAGTCCCTCTGCCAAATTGTGATTCTCGTGCTCAATTCCCTCATATTTAAAAAGTTTCTCTTCTTCCTGTTGCTATGGAAATAGACTCACACAGACAACAGAGGAAAGAACAGACTACAAATAGTCACTTTCAGTTTCCAATGTTAAAGTTTTGCAAAACTCAAAAGTTATTTTTTTTCCATCTAATTTAGTAAACTTCAGTAATACTTATAAAAATGCTGGGTAACATTTTAGTAAATTTTGTTATTTATAAATTGGTCTTTTTCTATGCCTGCAGCAAGCCTTGACAGAAAAAAAGTTTTATAGGGATAACTAAATGTTACACGAACTATATGTAGTATTTGGCCCCCAAAATAGCAAAAAAATGTAAAAAAAATGTTACATGATTATTTGTGATTGGTTGTGGCTCTAGTAGCTTATCTGATGAAAAGGGATTTTACTTGGTTAATAACAGGGAAATCTGACTTCTGTTTCATAAACTCCCTTTTCCCAGTTGTCTGATAAACTAACATTAAGCACAGATATTAGCTGTCACTGCAAGAGCATATTACTAACCACTGTTAGTGAAGGCACTTGTTGACAAACAGAACAAAAGAATTGACATTTCTCATCCAAAAATCTCCAAAATCTGACTGTAATCTTTGCTTTTCCCATCAAAGTGACAGGAGTTATATCATCAGAGCTGCAATTTTCAACTCAGCAAGCAAGGGAACCATCAACCACTAATGTACCAAAAGCAGTTGATGATCCACTGAATACCTTATTCCACATAGTTGCTATCAGGAAAGGAGAAGAGGAGGGAATCACATCTGAAAGAGTTTAACACCTTATAGGCTTGGCAGTGCTGCTCTTGCTAGCACCACGGCCGAAAGGGACTTGGGGGTCATGACTGACCACAAGATGAATATGAGCCACCAATGTGATGTTACAGCCAGCAAAGTGAGCAAAACTCTGACTTGCATCCATAGATGCTTCTCTGGCAAATCCCAGGATGTCATCCTCCCACTGTACTCGGCCTTGGTGAGACCGCAGCTGGACTACTGCATCCAATTTTGGGCTCCACAATTTAAAAAGGATGTGGAAAAGCCTGAGAGTCCAGAGGAGAGCCACATGCATGATCAGAGGGCAGGAAAACAGGCCTTATGATGAGAGGCTGAGAGCTATGGGGCTCTTTAGCCTGGAAAAGCAAAGGCTCAGGGGGGACCTAGTGGCTGCCTATAAGTATATAAGGGGTGTACATCAGGAGCTGGGGGAACGCCTGTTCACCAGCGCCCCATGGGATGACAAGGTCAAACAGTCACAAACTTGCCCAAGACCGTTTCAGGCTGGACATAAGGAAGAACTTATAGTTTCATAGTTTCAGGGTCGGAAGGGACCTAATAGATCTTCTAGCCCGACCCCCCGCCAGGGCGGGAGAACAACCCAAAAAACACAAACAAAACCACTCACCCTAAAAACAAAAACGGGACTCAAATGAGTCCAGCCAGGTAAGTATCCAGCCTCTTCTTAAAGATCCCCAGGGTAGGGGCCAGAAACACCTCCCTTGGAAGTTGGTTCCAGCTCCTAGCCGCCCTGACTGTGAAGTAGTTTTTTCGGATGTAAACTTCTTTACAGTCCGAGCCCCCAAGGCCTGGAACAGACTGCCGCCAGAGGTGGTGCAAGCACCTACTCTGGATTCCTTTAAGAGTCAACTGGATGTTTATCTTGCTGGGATCCTGTGACACCAGCTGACTTCCTGCCCCTGGGGGAGGGGGATGGACTCGATGATCTTCCGAGGTCCCTTCCAGTCCTGATGTCTATGAATCTATGAAAATCTTGTATCCACATATTAAATTAAATACTGTACATTCAAGAATATTGTAAACCAACAAGTTGTAAACAATGTTGTAACTGTTTTTACAACTCATGTACTATATGAAAGACCATGCGTCTCACGCTTTCAAGAAGTGACCACAGAACAACTCACAAAACAGAAAGTATTCAGTCCCATTTTCATGTCCGAAATGAAATTTCAGTATTCTATTAATATCCAGGTATCAACTTCCCTACA